GCTGTTGCACACAGAAGATCTGAGTTCGATTCTTGTGTGGGGAGAATTTTTATCGAGCGTCGCGTCTCGGTCATTTGCTAGGACATGTCCCTCTCAGTCTGGGTTGGCCCAGACAGGCAGGGTCAAAGCCAGCCCCCTGAATTTTCTAAACGATGTCGATGCGGGTGTAAAAACACCTTCTTTAATTTTTGAACATTTTACACAATATAATCCCTTTTCCCCCCACAGGCGAATGTCTACAGCGAAAGATTGTATCGTGAAAATTCTGACTACTGTTTTCGTTGAGAGAGAGAGAGAGAGAGAGAGAGAGAGAGAGAGAGAGAGAGAGAGAGAGAGAGAGAGAGGGCGGGGGTGGGGGGAGGGAGAGGGAGAGAGGACGAGAGAGTGTGAGTGAGTGAGAGGGAGAGAAGAGAGAGAGAGATAGCGAGACAGAGAGAGAAATAGAAAAAGAGAGAGAGAGAGAGAGAGAGGGAGAGAGAGAGAGAGAGAGAGAGAGAGAGAGAGAGAGAGAGAGAGAGAGAGAGAGAGAGAGAGAGAGAGAGAAACACCATGAAAGAGATTGTTATTTAAATTCACGTTGCGTAAAGTGTGAACAGCGCTATGAATGAAGGGTTTGTTTTTCTCAAAGACTGGCTTTCCTTTTCCAAAGTCTGCCACTCATAGACAGACCATTGTCTACAACAACATAATAAAGTGTATCTCAGCGCCTTGGTTGAACATGTACTTTAAATGTTGTATCATCCTTGCACCTGAATGAAGGTCATCATATAAGCCTATGAATTAGACCTTTTCCCTTCATTCTCTGTCCTGAGCAAAAATAGAAGGCTTAGAAAAGCGTCAGTATGGTTGACGAGATCCAATACGTAGTGTTTAGGAAAGCTTTAGTATGATTGGTGGTATCCAAGATTATATTAAGGTATTCAATGTAAGCATGCACAGAAACTGTGTTTGTTTGTTTTTTACCTGTCAAGCAATGGGATATTGTGCACTTACCGCCGTTCATTTTTAGTTTTAGTTTTAGTAAGAGTTTTACGGCACTGGCAACACAATAGGATCATATAAGTGCCGAAGATTAGAGGTATTACAAGAAAGTAAAAAAAAAAAACCAAACAAACAAAAAAGTAGAAGAGGTAAGGAGGACAGATGTTTGCTAGGAAAGAACGAGCAAACCACCCTACGAGAGCTTACCATCCATTGTTCATTTTTAGCTCCCAAAAAATCTGAACCGTCAAGCTACAACAAGTGATGACGCTATTCGTCCAGTGTTTCGGTTTCCCCCATTTTCAATAATGGCAGCCGTTGGGATCAATCATGGCTGTGTTGTTGTTGGCTGTAGGTCACGCCTTGTTCCCAGGCAGCCCGCGAGCCTCGCGATAAGTCTTCGCGCCCGTGACGCAAATCGCCCCAACTCGACGCAAGTGTTGGACTGCGCATGGTCGGCCCAACCAAAACATCGCCAGATGACCCGACTTTATAAACTGGCGGGCTCCAAGTTCTGGGAGTAACGAACAGCCTGTCCCGGAAGGAGATGTGCCTCTGAAATCTTCCGAAGTAAAGAAGAAAAGAAAAAAACCCAGAAACCATTATATTATATTACTATACTATACTATACCGAAGTGCTCGCTAGTGGAAAGAAATTGAAAAACTTGCGAGAGTTGATTTTTGTCTGAGGCGTTGAATAGATTAATACACAAGAAAAAGTGACTGGGTAATGGTATTACTAAACCCAAGATTACGCATCGTTTTATATCTGGTACGGTTTTAAAACTGTGAAAGTTTATGTACTGCTGAAAAAGATACTGGATCTCCTTTGCAAGCGTGAAAAGTTCATCTTCATCACAAATACAAAGGACAAGGAAGACATTTGTGTATATATACGCCGGTTGTGATCAAACACCAGCAGCGCCTGCGTTGTGAAGTTTTATACAGTTTCTGTGATATTTATTTTTTCCTTTTTTTCTACACCATGACGACGATCATTAGACAGTTGGTTCTCTGTGCAGTTCTGGGATGTCTGCTTGACACGGTACGTACCAAACGTTGAACAAATCACTAATAAAACAACGGTTGTTGTTGTTGTTTGGGTTTTTTATTAAATGATTTTTTTTCTTCTCTCCGAGCAAATGAGGCAGAATTTCTGCTTTACTGTCGAAATATTCCAACACGGGCTCACATTGTCGAAGAGAAAACTAGTTGTCTTGATCAGGAGAACGTCTTTGACAGTGTTATTGTTATAACAATAAATACGTAAGGCCTAGATCTAGACCGTATGTTGCTTTGTTAAAATAAAAAGAACAAAGAAGGGCACATAACAATTAGTATCCTTCGATCTCAGTGATACATATAGGGATGCGATATGCTTGAAAATGATTTCGACGTTAATCAGTCAACCATAATTCAATAATATTTTAGCATTTAAAAATATGAAAGTTAGTAATTTTACTAGGGTAATACAGCAATACTCAGAAGGTCACTTTTTCAGATTCCCGAGTCGCTTATT